GTGGGGTTTAGAGCCGGTGTAGGTACAGAAGAGGGACTGTTCCATGTATCCTACAAAGACGCAGGCGTAGCTTGGGCCCATGCGGGCTCCCATGGCCACCCCCTTAGTCTGTAGGAAGTGGGACGAGTTGAAGGAGAAGTTGTTAAGGGTGAGAACGAGTTCAGTTAAGCGGGTGAGGGTGTCGGTGGAGGGGGACTGGTTGGACCTGTGGGAGAGGAAGAAGGGGAGGGCTCTTAGGCCACTTTGGCACTACCTGGACAATACAGAAAGATTAAAGCTCAAGGACTCCTTGAAGGTGAATTCAGGAAATGGCATATTTAGCACAGGCTGGAAGAAAAATGCCCAAGAAAAGCTACTTGGGGAGTGATCTCAAATAGTGACGTTATTTTCTTTAATGGTATAGAATGCAGTCAGCCAAAGATAAAAAGACAAACTAAAATGAATGGGTGACATAACAACATCAGACAATTTATCCTTACCCACACTGTGAAAAGCCATGTAAGTCTGCAGTTGAACCCACAGACACAATAGGATGTACAACAGATGACCACAGAGCAAGAAATCGACAATAAGCCCTGTCTTGCAACCTTACCAGCTTGGCACCTCATTTTTAGGTTGGCATGCTCTCCTTCACTCCTCATCAAATTGTTATGCGAGAGGTCAGACTTTATGGAGGACTAAAGGGAATTTGGTGTCTATGCTCAGAGATCAGTTAAAAACTCCTGCTTAGATGTAAAAGTTGCCAAAAAGACTAATTGGATGTTAGTGATTTATTTAATATTAATTAGAAAACAACATCTGCCCTATTCTAGTTGATCAGGAAAAATCTGTTCTTTTTCAAAAATCGTATGGCTCATTTTTAATTGTGAACAGCAGACTATTGAATGCTGTCAACCTTTGGATATCACAGCCTACAACTATAGTCAGGTGCCTGTACATTTGCCAATCTGCTCAGGGAGTGCAGTGAAATTAATGTAAAAGTAAAGAATATTCAGCCCTAAGTTCGATTTACACAACAGGTACATGGAGTAAATTTCACTTTATTGCTTTTGTTTTATTCCCTCCTGGGCTCTTTTCATTTTATATTTGTTTTTATTTTCTGTCCACTGCTTCCTTCTTTTGTCTGAAAGCACCACTGAATTATTCAGACAGTATGACAGATGGAAGACAGACTCAGAGAATGGAGAAACACATCATCTGTGGAAAGGGAAACAGAGTTACCGTTTCCAGTCTGGTATGACTTCTTCAGAACTTCCGAAGAGGGATGAGTCTATGCATTTTGCCTGTTTGCACTCAGACCCTAAACAGAGGTAGGCAGCTGACTGAAAGGCTACACCCAGAGTACAGCATTTTCCCAGGGTACATTCCATGACTTGTAGAATGAAGCGAACATCATTGGAGTTGGATTTATTGGCAATTTTACAATACATTCTACTCATTATACATCAGATAGGTTTGAAAAGGTATTGGGGAAGTAGAATGCTATATGTTGGAGGCCTGTTTTCTTTTGGTAGAATGTGGAATAAAATTGGGAAGAAATGCTTTAATGGAATCTTATTAAATAGGAAAAGTGAACTGACTGAAAAATGATTAAAGAACAAAAATGCTGAAAAGGTCCAGCTGACATAATGTGAACAAAAAACACAACAAAATTATTAGAAAGGTATAGTTTATGTACATAGCCTTCAAAATCGCCAAAAGCACATTACATTCAAGGCAAATATTGGGTATGACGTGGAAGAGAGTTTTGAAAGATACTGTGATCTAAAGCTTGCTGTAGTCCCTTTTTTATTCATTTTCTGTTTCTGTAGCTCCCTGATTTTCCTTGAACAGCTCCTTCTGCTGCCAGTTCACAAGTTCCACACACTTCATACTCCCAACTTATACACTAACCGCCTGAGACCTTTTTCTCAAACACTGTTAAATATTAAGAACTGGATTACATTCCACTCAGAGTCAACACTGCTGTTGTACAATGTTCCTTGCTGCACATCAGTATAAATTTACCAAGGGCTCTTTGCGTTGTTTAAACAATACAGCAACTTGTGCAAACAAGGAATTCAAATAAAAACCGTCTAACTTGGGTTTTACTTTGTCTCTCCTAATAAAAAATCACCTTGTTCAGTTGAAATGAGAAATTCTGTCAAACGGCACTTTAGTTAGATTGTACATTTTCAGACATACAGAATAGTTCAAAATATTCACTTGATTCCAAACATGCTTTTCCTGCCAGTTACAGGGTATTAATGCAATATATCAAGTCAAAATATCATCACATGAGATTTGATTTCTAGAAACACTTTATCGATCGGTAGAAATCATTTTCACATAAATTGTTAATCAGATCAACTCGTTAACCTCCTAATGTACCCATTCAATAGAAAACAAACAATTATAGTCACAAATCTTCATAAGCATTGCTGATCAATTAGGGTGATGAATTGCCCCAACTTCAAACACAAACACTGCTGATACCACATAATTAATATGCAATTGTAACACAATGGGCAATGTTAAGTTCTAGCCATGTTGTGGCCTGTTGGTATGTCCATTATTTCAGAAGCCAGATGCTCACACATTTCGGTTCTGATGATCACTGATAGGATTTATTTATTCTTGACTTTGTTACTGTCTCAGGGATCCAGGTGGGGGTAAAGTTATGGGTGGCGGGGGGGTGGTTGTGGTGATAGTGATGGATAAGACAGGACACCGAGGGAACAGGAACTCTTGTTATTCATTCATGGGATGTGGGCATCGTTGGCTAGACCAGCCACCATTCATAATCCCCAGGCAGCAGTTAAGAAACAACCACATTGCTGTGGGTCTGGAGTCCACATGAAGGCACACTAGATGGGGATGGCAGATTTCCCTTCCTAAAGGACATGAGTGAACCAGATGGATTTTTTTTAAAATGACAATTGACAGTGGTTTCATGGTGATCATTAGGCTGGCTTTTTATTCTTGATTTATATTTAATTCAAATTTCACCATCTACCATACCCCCAGACCATTTGCCTAGAGTTCTGGATTACTAGTCCAGTGGCACTACCACTACCCTTGCTACTTCTTACCCAGGGGTAACTCTGCTAACCTCCCTTGTAAACTGACCACAATGCCACTAGCCACAGTTTCAGATTATGGGCATTCCTGTTCAACTGAGAAAGGGGTGCAGATACGTAAGAATTGCGTAATTATATTACATACAAACAGCAAAATACTGTGCATGCTGGAAATCTGAAAAAGAAATAAAAGCTGCAGGAACTAGTCAACAGATCAGACAGAATCTGTGGAGATTAACAGAGTTAATACTTCAGGTTGACATGACTTTTCATCAGAACCATTTCGTCCATTACCATGGAGAAACTAATCTTAGAAAAGTTAGTAGCCAGCCTCTCTTCACAGAATTCTTAAGGCTAGAAGAAAGGAAATTAAAATATCCAGACCAAAAAAAAGCAGAGTTAGATAATTTCTTGACAACTTGCCTGCTAATGCATCACAGGGTGACATTCAACCTGATCCAACCATCCCTCCCCTCTCCCGGTTTGACTTTTGTTAACACTTCATGGCCAAACAGCATTAAGATGGCCAGACACATATAACCCTCACCTCCCCTGTCAGTATTCCACAAGGATCGCTCCCTCCAGGACACTCTGGTTGGACTCCTCCTCCACTCTGAATATCTTCCCACAGCCCCATGGCACATGCAATTGTAAAAGTCGCAACACTTTATCTCCTCCGTCCTTACTACCCAAGGCCCCACAGCAGGTGAAGCAATGACTTATCTGCACTTCACTCAATCTAATCTACTCTATTCACCACTCGTAATGCAGTACTTACTTCAATGAGGAGATGAAACGTGGATAGTGGCTGCTTTGTGGAACATCTATATTCTGTCCGTAAAAATGACACCAAGCTTCCAGTTGTCTGCCTCTTCAACACACCACAGTGTGCCCATTGCCAACATTTCTGTCTGAGGCTTGCTGCAGTGCTCCAGCAAGACTCAGTGCAAGCTGGAAGACAAAACCTCAACTTCTGCTTGAGGACCTTTCAGGCTTCAGGATTCAACATTGTGTTCAATAATTTTGGTACATGAATACCTCCCTCCATGTCTTTTACCCACCCCACAATGCAGGCCCTATCAAGACATGGGGTGCTTTCAGCGCAACCAACCTATTTTCAGCTACCTCAAAAACCTTGTCATAGAATTACAGAATCTCTACAATGTGGAAGAGGTCATTGGTCCCATTGAGTTCACACCAACCCTCCAAAGAGCATCCCTATCAGACCCACCCTCTACTCTATCTCTGTAACATTGCATTTCCTATGGTTAATCTACCTAGCCAACACATCCCTGGATATGACTGGGCAGTTTGGCATGGCCAATCCACCTAACCTGCATATCCTTGGACTGTGGGAGGGAACCAGAGCACCCGGAGGAAACGTGTGCAGACATGGGGAGAATGTGCAAACCCCACACGGTCCCGAGGGTGGAATCGAACCTGGGTCCCTGCTAACCACTGACCCACCATGATGCCCACATCATAAGCATAAATACCACGTTGCCCTGTCTACTTTCAGTTCTGAAGAAAGGTCACTGGACTAGAAACATTAGCTCTGCTTCCTCCCTGCAGATGCTGCCAAATCTGCTGAGTTTTTCCAGGTATTTATGTCTTTGTTTCAGATCTCCAGTTCTTTGTTTAATTTGAAGATTGCTAAAACTCAGCATCTTATAGGGGTAGCACGGTGGCGCAGTGGTTAGCACTGCTGCCTCACAGCACCAGGAACCCGGATTTGATTCTGGCCTTGGGCAACTGTCTGTGTGGAGTTTGCACATTCTCCCAGTGTCTGCGTGGGTTTCCTCCGGGTGCTCCAGTTTCCGCACATAGTCCAAAGATGTGTAGGGTAGGTGGATTGGCCATGCTAAATTGCCCATAGTACCCAGGGATGTTTAGGTTAGGTTAGGTGTGTTACACATGGGAAATGCAGGGTTAGGGGGACGGGTCTGGGTGGAATGCTCTTCGGAGGGGCAGTGTGGACTTGTTGGGCCGAATGGCCTGTTTCCACACTTTACGGATTCTATGATATCTTAACCTCGTTGGGGATCTGAGCAGCAGAAACAACCAGAGACTCTACCCGTAATCACAACAACACAGAATTCTCAGGAATATGAGATCCAACACAATTTTACTTCTATTTAAGTGAATGGTTGACAAAGCAGATGTGTGATCCACCTCCTTAGAATTGTCATATTGTTTTTTTTGGAAAACAAAATCTTTTTAGGAAAATTAATACACAATGCCTATGGAACTGTACATCAACAGAAGTCAAAATCTTCAGGGAGAAGAGGACACCAGTATCTCAGTGTCCTTCGAACTGCCCATCAAAGCTATTCAGGCTATAAAAAATCATTTTTTTGAGATACTGGGCAGAGATCCTGTCAGCCCTCTCAAGTAAAAGAAAAAGTAAAAGGCTTCCGTTTGTAAAACACCTCAGGACATCCCGAAATGCTTCAGACCCAAGCAAATGCTTTTGAAGTGTAGTCATTGTTATGATGTAGGAGAAACTGCAGCCAATTTGGCCACAGCAAACTCCGACCAGCAACAAAGTGATAGTGAACAGATAATCTGTCATTCTGATGCACAGAATGTCAGCTAGCTATCAGGGTTAACATCCCTGCTCTCCTTTTAACTGGTGGTGAGGTTGTTTAATGTCTGATGCAGAAGATGGCACCTGAGACTGTGCAGCTACCCTCAGTACGTATAGGAACATTAGCCTAAATTTCTGCACCAAAGTTGACATGGAGGATTCCACGGTAGTGTCTGAAGTAGGATTCTCCTTGCATTCTGGAAAATATTTATTCCTCAGTCAACATCTAAAATTGAAGATCTGGTTATTTATTTGATAATCATTTGCATGGAGCTTGCTTTGCGCAAATCAGCTATAATGCTTCCTATGTTATAGTAGTGAGTGCACTATAAACCACCATAAACTTCAAAATCATTATAAGATTAATTGTAAAACAGTTAGGATTTTCTGAAAGGCATTGTCATTAGTGCGTTTCCCATTTCTTGAGCAGCCATTTAGGAATGGAAAATACATGTGGCTTTCCCAGCATTTGTCTTGTTGCATGAAAAAATAATCTCATTCCAGATAAGATCAACTTGTGCAACTCAAAGTAAATACTGAACTGGGGCCTTCTTATCACAGTGTATTAGCAGTATACCATGCAATCCATATACTATTTAGCTCCAAATTTTATAGAAAGCAGTTAATACATTCAGAATATATTCTGAAAGATATTGAACATTGCAACAATAACTGCTTGTTGTATATCTTTTTCCAGCTTTGTAGACAAAATATTCTCACCATGCATCATTTCCCAAAAACACAGAAGGAATTAATTTCTAATATCTCATTTGAATAAATACCCTCTTGTTGGGAACATTAATCTGTAAAATAAGGATTGCTACTGGTTCTATCCCTCTCCTCTGCTGACTTAGTTGAGCAGCTGAAGGCTGACTGGGGAAAATTTACAATAAGCACCAGCCTGCCCAGATGGCTCGATGGGTGAATTCACTGCCTTGTGTGGTATCTAGCCACAGAGATCAGAAAAGTCATAGGGAACAGGCACATTCAGCCAGTTTAGCACATTCTGAAGACCACTAGGAGAGACTCCAGTGATAGATCAGGAGGCTTGCAGTCATGTGGAGACCACCATAATTTTGTTTCTTCTGTGCTGTCAACTGTGCACTGAGAGCAGAGAGAACTAATGTAAGACAAGAGGCTTCAGTTGTTTCAGAAATGAGAAACAACAAAGGAGCTGGATCTTCGCCAACTCCAAATTCACGGACTCTCAGGAGATGAAGTTTGTTTCTTTCTGTATTCCAAAAAAGATGCTGAAATCAGCAAATTAGTATGCAAATGTAACTTCCCTTCAGAATACTAAATACTGTCTTACAGAACTGAAAGCCAAGCTTCAAACAAAACAAACCTATACAAATACATGAAACATTTCCAAAACTTTTAAAAAGGAGAAAACACAATGGTTTCGCATGGTAGTGCTCATGGGCACATTGAGTCAATGTCTTAAATCAGACCGCTGTATCATTTGCCACTGGATTTTTACATCTCTTTACCTGAAATACAACATGAGAACTCCACATTTCATCCTGATCTACAACTCTATGGTTTCCAACTTCCACATTTCTTACCATTTCACTGTGCACTTCTCTGGATTGCAAGCCAAGTATTAAGGATCAACTGTACTACAGGTTGATCCTCTTTGGAAGTATGGCCCATGTTTCATCTTGAGGTCAAATAGTTCAACATCATTTCCAACACTGAATTTTGCATCTGTTTGCAATCCTATTCTTCAAGGAACTGATCCATCAAAGACAGCAAACAGGGCAGTGTTCTCTCAGTAGTGTCCCGAAGTGTCATGCTAGATTATATGTTCCAGTGCCTTTGGTTTCTTTGGTGAAACCTGAACACAGGACATTCTAACTCAGAGGTCAGAGGTCTAAGCTACTACCAAATCAAGACTGATACCACTATACCAATGCATTAAGTGCTCAAATAATATTTCTAAATGTAATTTCCAGCTATTCTTCTTCAGGTAAAAATGCATTACTAGCACCTCATTGTATATTGCTTTGTAACTCTAAGTGCCTGTATAAGTTTATTTTCTTAAATTAATAACTTCACTGCATTTGATGGTTTGGGTAATAATGAAATTATCAAAACCTAAAAGCAATCATGCAATTTCATTCGTGCAACTCATCCATATTCAATTGCAGGCTGTGTGTTGGTGGAAACATTTCACAGCTCTGGCTGATTGTGACAGTGGAAAGTTTAACAGTTGGACCATCAGAATGCATGACGAAACCAAATGTGGCAGAAAAGCTGCAGAGAAAGTCAAAGTTGCTCCTAACCACCTCTTCTTTCTTTTAACAAGCACGTGCATTGGCACACACATTTATTAACAACATGCTAAAATTATAGAGCAGTGGATTTGATCAAGAGGCTTCTTCATTCTTTGGTTTGTGTTTTAATTTTTAATTTATTCTTTAATTTTTTGGGTCAGCCTTTATGCAAATACAGTCCTTATAAAACTAAACCCACCGCTTTAACTCTTCCTTGAAAAGTAACTAAGTAGTGGGGTAATGCTGGGGTTGAGCACACTCGAATAGAAAAGGTCTAAATGGCTGGAAAACAGAGACACTATTTTTTTGTAAGCATAAGAGACTGTACAGTTAACTTTCTCACAATTCACTGGCACATTCTAACTCTTAACATACCAAAGCTCCTTTCAGAATGTTAACAATCTTGGAACACACTCCAAGCCATCAGTGAATTTAGTTAGTGTTGCCAGCTCCTTCAGTACTGAGATGGTAACAGCTGGCCCAGCTAGCCTATTAAAAATAGTGGGGAGAAACTTCTCGTCTACAGATATGTGACCACAGTTTCTTAAGATTTGCTAGTTTGCAGGATGTCATGGGCTCCCACAAAATTTTCTGTTGCAAATGGCTCCCCTCGAGGGGTCGTTTGAATGCTCCTTAAAGTTTCTTCCATCTCCTTCTGGTGTTTCTTCAGATGCTTTTGCAAAAGCTGTTTGTCTGGAGAGGAGTAGACACATAAGTGGCAACCAAAGGTCTCACCTGTGTGATGCCTGCGCACATGAAGATCCAAGCTCTTCTTTTGGATGCTGCACAACAGAAGGAGAATCAAAACTGATTAAATTTATCATTTCAACAGATATTTGTACTATATAATTTATGTTATACGGAGGCACTTTGGACAGAAGCAATGCCATTTTGCCTGGTTTTTGTAATCTTCACCACTGACAGTATTTGGGGTACATTCCAAAGCTCCACGGCAACTCAAAAATGCCCTGCACTTGTGAGCAAGCCTGTTCCCAAGTCTGCTTGTTTGGAAAGCTCTGTGCAGCTGGACGATGAAAGAACAGCATTGGTGGGCTGAATGGTCAGTCCACAGCAACCCGAAAACTGGCAGCTTATACCACTAGCCAAGTTGTGGATAACAAAGTCAGTTTTTTCCTACGTTCTATTGCTTTTTGTGAACATAAGAACAAGAAAGGTGATTCAGTGCACTGAGCTCTCCCCATCATTCAATTAGATCCTATTGATTATCTACCCTCAGTGCAGGAAAGTGGTAATACCTCCATATCTCTTCTGCCATCAGATTCCAAAAATCTATTGATCTCTGCCTTGAACATGCCCAATGATTCAACCTCCACAGCCCTGGGGGGTGCAGAATTCCAAAGATTCACAAAGTTTTGGACTTATTTTTATTTGCTACTATAAAAGCAAATAAGCATTTTGAATGAATGTAGGGACACTGCAACCTGTTAAATTTATAATTGAAATTAAACCAGTTTTAAAATCCAAACCTCAGAGTTAAATAGAAGCAGCTCCATTTTGAGAAACTTCTCTCCTTTAAGCAAACCCTCTCCCTTTTGAATTCAGAATGCTGACTTATTCTTCAGTTCAAATAATTTCTAGCATTACTTATCATTTGATCGGTCACTTTTCGTTTATTTTTTTCATATTAACCCACCTTCACGTATAAAAGTCAAAGGTAAGCTTGAAAATAAGATTGGAAAGAAAACCTCAAGAAGAGACAAATCCACTACTTTCTCTCTTAAGACATGAGCAATTTTTGTTTTCAGAGAACTCATTGAAGTGAAGTCCAAAGACAGAATTGTGCACCAACAGCATGTCAAAAACCATATAAAAATTCACTCTCACCAGTAAGGATTCTGTCAGGGAAGATGAAAATTAAGGCTGTAATCAGCAGTGTGTAAAAAAATCATAGGAGAGTCATTAAAGTAAATTCAGAAGTAACAGTAAAAAAAACATGATATTCTGCAGTTGCTAAGCAACAACGTGTTCTCATTCCAAAGATGCTTCTGGGTATATGGTTGTTTCCCTCAATATAAATCTCATTTTATTAACAACCATTTCTATAATATATTCATTTTTATTGCCTCTCATTTTGCTGGTGTTTCAGGAGCAGAAGATAAAAGAAGATCCTCTATTTGGAAAACAGAATAGGAAAGACACACTAAACAAGATCAACACAGCAGTAAAGGGGGCTCTAGAGTTAGAGTGAGAAAAATGAATAGCAAACGAAGAAATATGAGAACAAAAAACAGATAGCAAAGTAAACAGAAAGTAAAACACTGCAACAAATGTTCACAAGGTCAAGAGTGCAACTTAAATCAAAATTGACAAAGGACAGAGTAAATAAGCAAGAGATGGTTACACAAAAAGAGACAAAATGCAAATAGCAAGTGTCCTTGTATCTGGGGGAAAATGTAACTTCCCATTTACTAACTGATAATTGCATATTTTTGGTGCTACTGTTTTGCAAGTCCATCCCACAGTCACAACAGGGTGGGCGTGGGCTAAAGTGGTTGGCAGTGGACCCCCATCCTTAAGATGACAGGAAATCCCATCATCAGGAGCTGCAACAGACTTGGTAATATCAGAACCCAGTAGTGAAGGAAGGAGTAGGATGAGAAGGTGCCTTCCTCAGAAAGAAGTTTTGGGGCAGGTGGGATTTTGCGACAGGGAGGGAGTTTGGGGTTATTGTTTGGAAGGAAGGCAAGAGACGATTCCCAATGTGCACAGGCCACACCCCTAAAGGAGAGATCTGCTCTCTTTCCCCCTTTTTCAGCCAGGCCATAAAAAATAGCCTGCCAACCATATTATGGAGAGGACAGTGTATTATCCTAGTTAAAAGACTCACTAACAAGCCTAATTGTCTTTTACTTGTTCATTTAGCCCAATTATTTATCTCCTTACTGCAGGCAGGCTGCTAATTTTTATGAACAAAGACAGAAGTTGCTGGAAAAGCTCAGCAGGTCTGGCAGCATCTGTGAAGAAAAAATCAAAGTTAACATTTATGGTGTGGTGAGCCTTCCTCAGAGCCAATTTTTATGCCAGGCCACCTTGTGTATTATTGAGATTAGTTTGAGGGCGGAAATGTGGTGGATTAGGCAGCTGACCTACTTTATGTGCTGCCCAGATTAAAAATACACCTGGAAGGGGCACCCAGAATCAAATTTGAAGCTTCTTCTCCCAGTTAAAAAGATAAATCTAATCCACTTGTTAGAGACAAAGGTGTGAAAATAATTCTTACTGTTAAATGAAGAATGAAACTGAGAGCTGAAGAGTTCCAGAACTATTTTCCTCAGCATTCTTTTTTTAAATAACAACAATAATTTTAAATTTGCAATTTTTAGACCTGGGTTTTATGTCTGTAGTATTGACAGTAACCTGTCTCATTTTAAATCAGTGTAACAATTGGAAGAGTACACCAATTCATCATTAGCAGGGCAAATACACTGCAGTTCACGCTATTGAATAGTGGCCAAACAGAGTCCATAAATGTTTCCTAACTTCTTTCTAACAACGATGCTGAATAAAATACCTACACTGACACCCCAACTGTGACCAGCCAACTCAACACAGACCAATGTCTGAACGTTGATCCACAGAGATCAATGACATTCCACACAATACAGTTAACTGCAGGACTGGTATTCAATTTGCAAATTTAATAAACACTCACAAACAAAATACAAATTATACTATCCAGGAAAACATTAACTGTTGTTGATCTAACCATTTTCCTGCAATATATCAATTCTATAGCTAAGATCTGCAGGATCCGAATGCCAGAATCTGGCCTCTTGTTTCCTTCCTGCCTCAATGTTGATCATACAGCTGCCTGACTTTTCTTAATTTTTGTAAGAAAGTCAAGTCATTCTCAGCTTTAGAAATGAGCACTAAAACTGAATACAGCGTAGGAAAAGCTATGTAAACTGAAACCAGAAGGGAGGGGAAGAGAAACAACACTTATGTTTGACCATTAAAGCAATCTTGTAATGAGAAAGGAAGCTCCCTACAGCAGCTGGGGTGGAATCCACCCAAACAGAGAATGATGCAGTTGATTTCTGAAACTGCCACCCCAATGGCCACGGTTTATTACGTCTCTTTGTAGAAATTGATATATTTTCTTACTACACTCTCACCACGGACAGTCAAAGATCTTCCCACACAGAATTTCTGATTTCAGCTGATGCTCTCTAAGGAAATGTAAACTTTCAACAATGTTAAGGGTCAAAAGGTTCTTGATGAGTCCTCGATTTCATCAGCCATTACAATCCAATATTCATTCAGGGTTACAGTTTCTATTCCATCACTTGGCTTGATGTCCCTGTTCCTGCTCCAAGGCCAATTGAAATGGGAAGGGTAAATAAGGTCAGGAATGAATTATGATAATGGATCTACTCACCAACTATAAGAGCACAGCTGGCATTTGTAAGGTTTCTCAGTAGAATGTGTGCGGGAATGCCGCCTTAGAGAGCTGGCATCAATGGAGGCATATTGGCAGACTGTACACTTGAAGGGCTTCTCACCTTTGGAAAGGGAGAAAAAAAAAACTTGTCTTATAAAACAACCTCATTCAGATGTGCTTGTGCAATTTAAAAGTATAATTTCTTCCATTTCTTCTCTCTCACATATGTAGAACTTTCAGCCTCAGCAGATTTTGACATGTAGACTCAGCCTCTTGCATTTCATTATTGTTGACTTCATTTTTATTGCTCTTTGCTCTCCTGAGCTTTGACCAGACTAAGTATTACAGTAACAAATCACACTGTACTCAATACGTTCACCTCCCTGACGACCATCCTTGATCACGCATCAAACTAGAGAAGTAAACTCTCAGAACCTGAATACTCACTGCTCAGCAAAGATCTGGCACTGACATACCACAATATTTACAAGAAATATATGAGCAGTAACTCCACAGCTCACACACAGCAGATGTCACTTCCTGAAAGAAATGCATCATGGTTATGAAATATAATTTGCAAATATAGCAATCCTTCAAATTTTTCTGAATAAGGGCAGTTATAACACTCTAGGAGCTAAACACCATTCAGGACAAAATAGCCGCTTCATTCATATCGCCATTTTAAACAGTCACTCCCTCCAGCACTGAGGCACCACATGATTGCAATGTGTAATATCTACAAGTAACACTATGGCAACTCCCCACAATTTCTTTGATAGCACCCTCCAAATGCACGATCTTAAATGGTTAGATTGAGAACAAAATTTGTAGGCGCAAAGGAACCCTAACCTTCAAGCTCCCACCCACAACTGAGAGCAACTGATGTTTCACAGCACTTTATAACTAAAACACTACTTTCTGAATTGCAATCATTGTTATTAAAGCAAATCACAACATGAAGAACTGTTAATTGCACCTTTCTTGATTTGCATGAATAAAACAAAGAAAAAAAGATTATGTTTCCGAAAAAGTACTCTAATTTCATACTGTTTTTGAATTGACTCCTTACCTATTCTCCATCAACTTTTTTTTGCCATTTGCTATGCCCATTCAAGGCTATCTCCTCTACCTTGTTGTCTTTCAAAACACAATTAATACCAAGGCCATTCTTTACAACTTCTTTGTGTCCTTGTCACCCACATCCCCCCCATTCTTTTCAAACTGCACTTCCTTCTACATCCACTCCTGTAAATAACAGTCCCCAAGGTATCTGCAGCTACACTTTTAAACTGCTAAGTGTCATACGTTTGACCCTCCACTTGCCATTGTTCATTGGCTCAACCACTTCCTCACCTCTGACACCCTGAAAGGAGAAGGAGTGGGGAGTAATGTCTAATCGTTATGAGAGGGGTAATTGTAGTTATTTCCAGATCAATTCCTGAATATGCCACACGACAGTTGACAGCATGTTGGTCCTGCTGCTCGGGCTTCCAGATCCATAGAAAACACAAGGGAAACTAGAGAGAAGATACTGATAGAACCTCACACCTTAACAAAACAGAATAGCACACTTAAAATCATTTCTTTTTTTTCTTGGACAAATGTTGACAAAATTTTACAGCACATATTCGGCAACAGAAAACACTTGTGATTCTTACCTGTGTGAACTCTCATGTGCTGTATCAGTGATGCCTTTAGCCTGGTTTTATAATCACAGTGCTGACAATGAAATGGTTTTATACCAGTGTGTGTTCCCATGTGTCTCTGTAGTGCCAACTTGGAGGAGCATTTCCTGTCCAACAGGAAACAGACTTGTCACCATCACAAAGCACTTCGCTGCACTCCTCATTCACATTTCACGGTTACTATTGTTTAGTACCATTAATGTGCATGGCTTTATTGAACTCTTACCCTACTGGATAAAACTGAATTAAATTATTAACACTAACAAAAACAGCACTACATAAACAACTTGCATTTATAAAGCATCTTTATGCCTCAAAATACTGAAATAATTCTAAAATATACATGCAAATATCATTACCAATCAACTTTTCCACATCCTACCTGCAAACGTGTTCAAGCTTGCTAAGTTAACATGCTTTCCTATCCAATAATATTTGGATTTAATTTTTTTTATCACCGCATACAATGACTCAACACTCGCATCTACCAAACAGTGTGGAAAATTGCCCAGCTTCGTCTTGTACACAAAACGCAGGACAAATCCAACATGGTTAATGAGGAAGGGTCACCAGACAAGAAATGTTAACTCTGATCTCTTTCTTCCTGGATGCTGCCTGACCTGCTCAGCTTTTCCAGCAACTTCTGTTTTTGTTCATGGTTAATTACCACCCCATCAGTCTATTCTCGATCATCAGTAAAGTGATAGAAGGTGCTATCAAGCAGCACCTACTCATCAATAACCTGCACAGTGATGCCCAGTTTGGATTCTGCAAGGGCCACTTGGCCCTGACCTCATTACAGCCTTGGTTTAAACATGAACAAAAGAGCTGAATTTCAGAGATGACGTGGGAGTATGCATCTTGGTATGCACTGCTGCCTCACAGCGCCAGGGACCTGGGCTCGATTCCAGCCTCGGGTGACTGTCTGTATGGAGTTTGCACATTCTCCCCGTGTCTGTGTGGGTTTCCTCCGGGTGCTCCGGTTTCCTCCCATAGTTCAAAGATGTGCAGGTTAGGTGGATTGGCCAAGCTAAATTGCCCATAGTGTTCAGGGAGGTGTAGATTAGGTGGGTTATAGGGGGATGGGTCTGGATGGGGTGGGATGCTCTGAGGTTCAGTGTGGACTTGTTGGGCCGAAGGGCCTGTTTCCACACTGTAGGGATTCTGTGATTCTACCATTCTATGATGATCAAACAATCTTTCAAACTCCCGCATTTATCTCCCAAATAAGGCATGCGATCAGAGGACAAATAGCATTCAAAGAACTGTAAGAGTCTGTGTAGGCTTTGGGAAAGGTGAGGGAAAAAGTAAAAGGGTGAAACATGATAATATTGGATGATTTGGTACAGTCATTTCACAGAATTATTATAGTGCAGAAGGTGACCATTCCATCCATTGTGGCTGTGTCAGCTCTCCAAACAAACAATTCACTTAGGACCATTCTCAGCCTGCTCCCTGTAGCCCTGCAGATTCTTCCTTTTCAGGTAACTGTCTAATTCCCTCACAAAAGCCTCAACTGAGCCTGTCTCCACCACATGCTCATCCAATATATTCCAAATCCTAACCACATGCTGCATGAAAATATGTATCCATTGCTTGTTTTGTCAATCACCTCAAGGGCGTGCCCTCTAGTTCTCAATTCTTCTGACAATGGGAACAGTTGCTCCCTATCCACTCTGTCCAGTATCCTCATGATTTGCGTACCTCTATCAAACCTTCTCAAAGACTTTTGAATCAGACATCTTCCAGTGAAGGAAACACGATAACCAATTTGCACACTGTAAGATCCCACAAATATCAATGTAACAACAGCCAGATATACATGATTAAAATAAGTTATTGTCCAGAATATCTGCAGAGTGCCCTGCTTTTCTTCAATGCGACCATGGGATCTGATATGTCTAACTGACAGTAACCAGGGCTTCGATTTGTATCTGATCAGAAAGATGGTACCACCAACAGTGCGATAGACCCTCTGGACTGAGGTGCAGTCTAGGACAGGAGCTCCAGTCTTTGGAACGGGGTCTTATATTTATGTCCATCTGATTCCAAAACAAGAGTACAAACTCTGAGCCAAGGCTGACTCTCTTCGTACTAACTCTGCAATGCAAACTGTCCTCTAGGTGATGTATCTTGATCATCAGATCTATTAAGTAAATAGAAGTTTGATGAATAACCAGTATGGAGGCAAAGGTCAAGGAGCCTAAACACACTACCTTGCCTGTGTAATTGAAACAACAGCTTTTTTTTATAAAAAATATAGCCAAAAGAAATCTGGCAAAAGTCCCTATGCATCAGCCACACAATTGCTACTTTATAAAGGGAATTAGTGAGATCAAAAGATAGTAATTCAATTAGGACCAAGAGGAAAACAAATTAAGATATGAGTCAAACATGACATGCATCATCAACGTAGCAGAATCAGCCTCATTTAGCATGTTGTTCCTTTGCAAGTTCCACTTGGTAACACTATTAAAACTCTTTCCATCATTTTGCTGATGATCAAGAGCAGACTGATCGGGTGGCAATTGGCCAGATTTGTTCTGTTTTCCTGTTTTTACAAGACAGGACATACTGGGCCAATTTTCCATTTTGACAGTAGGTACCAGTGTCTTGGCTCTTAGCTAGGGGCATAGCTAATTGACGAAAACGAGTCTTCGGCAATATTGATGAACTGTTGTTGTAAGCATCTTCCGAAAAGGCGGAAAAGATTAGGAGGGGATGAAGGAGTACATCTTTATTGATAACATGTGTGAGGTAAATGTGTCCAGTCTTGTTATAGAGGATTAATTCCATATACACAAATTCAACATCAAACCAACTGTGAGCTACGTTATACAAGCTATATTCTATAACTGTGTCAAAAATCAGTCTCAGCATCAGAATTTGAAAGCACAACTTGTTTTGATATGGAGACACTTTTCTGGGACAGACAAACTTTGCAACCTATCCATTAAAAAAAGGTTTTAACAGGTTTTGGTTACTTCCACTTCAAAACCTAAGCTATAATTGAAGTTCATGAAAAATGTTCCCAAGACTGCAGCACAGAAACAGACCATTCAGCTCATGCGTTTACGCTCTACACAAGTCTTCTCCCATCCAACCCCACCTACTGGCAGTCCCATCTATGCCTATCTCCTTCTTATACTTGATTAATTCAACTGGTTGGGTGCAAAACTTTTGCCCAATTAACATCATTTATTCTTCTTTACTCGCCTAACTTCCCCTTAAATGTATATCTCCACATTCTCACCACTCCAATGGATTTGTTACCACTCTTTATCTAGTGGAACCAACCATTCAGGTAACTAGGGAGCCAGCAACTTTTAACTTTACGACAAAAGTGATTGCGTTCATTTTTCTGAAGAAGGGTCTAGGCCCGAAACGTCAGCCTTCCTGCTCCTCTGATGCTGCTTGGCCTGCTGTGTTCATCCACCTCTACACCTTGTTATCCGCGTTCATATTGAATTGGGAGGGACTGATGAGGAGAGCATGGAAACGTTATCCTTTGCTGCCCTCTACTGGAATGCACTAAACAACAAAAATAGCTGCTGCATGCCTCAACTCAAATGAGATGACATGCTACATTAACCAGCAGTTTCTTTAATGAATACAGGTATTCTCCTTTATGACCTGTGTGAATCTATCACTGGGACATTCTTACAGAAACACAAAATTATTTGCTAGGTGTTCTGGAAGATCTTCAATCCTTTGCAACCACAAGCTTCGAAATCTCCCCTCACCCTAACGCATCCCAAAACCAGCCCAGCTCGTCCCTGCCTCCCTAACCTGTCCTTCCTCCCAGCTATCCCCTCCTCCCACCTCAAGCCCCACCCCCATCTCCTACCTACTAACCTCATCCCACCCCCTTGACCTGTCCGTCCTCCTTGGACTGACCTATCTCCTCCCTACCTCCCCACCTACACTCACCTTTACTGGCTCCATCCCCGCCTCTTTGACCGGTCTGTCTCCTCTCCACCTATCTTCTCCTCTATCCATCTTCTATCCGCCTCCCCCTCTCTCCCTATTTATTATTTCAGAACCCACTTCCCCTCCCCCATTTCTGAAGAAGGGTCTAGGCCCGAAACGTCAGCCTTCCTGCTCCTCTGATGCTGCTTGGCCTGTGTGTTCATCCAGCTCTACACCTTGTTATCTCAGATTCTCCAGCATCTGCAGTTCCTACTATCTCTGCTGGAAAAGCTCAGCAGGTCTGGAAGCATCTGTGGAGGGAAAAACAGAGTTAACGTTTCAGGTCCGGTGACCCTTCCTCAGAGCTGATGGTGGCTGGGAAAACGTCAGTTTATATGCAGAATAAAGGGGAGAGGGATGCGGTAGGGAGTAAACAATGGGATAGGGCCTAAAGAGAGAGAAAAGCAGTTGGACAAAGAGTTGATAATGATCAGGCTGGGAGGGTGAATAGTTGTTAATGGGGACTATTAGTGACTAATAACAGGTAGCGTGTGGGGTTAGGGGGCTGGGACATGGGAGAGTTTAGGCCCTAAAATTATTGAACCAGCCACCATCAGTTCTGAGGAAGGGTCGTGGGACCCGAAACGTTAACTCTGATCTTTTCCTTCACAGATGCTGCCAGACTTGCTGAGCTTTTCCAGCAACTTTGTTTTAGTTCCTGATTTACAGCATCCGCAGTTCTTTTGGTTTTTATTCAATCCTTCGCAATTTCTTTCAAAACAGTTCAGAATGTTTAGATTTTCCAATACAGCTGGAAGGGCACAGGTTCAGGTATGCACCAATACATGCGGTAATGCACTGCCATTAGTGTGACTCACACCATGGATGAACCAAGGGACAGCAGTATAATGCTGGGAGTGTGGAGACTGTGAAGCAACAGGATATTCAAGGAACAATTCTCGAACAGCTGCTGCCTCATCCTTAAGGGCCTTTGGCACTTCCTATTGCAATGAAAGACTTGCTGGCGTTGCATTTTTCTTGCAGACTTCTGAGGATGTCAAGAGAGTTGACAGAAAAGGAAGACCACTCCTTTTTCTCATAGAGCCGTGGAAATAAAGCTGAGGGATATGATCCAAGGATAGACTATGTTTATTCAGACGGGCAACTTCCTCAGAAGTGGTCCATACAGACTGTTCAA